GGTTGCAGTTTGTATCTGGAGGGTCTCCCGAATGGCACCAACTGGGCACCATTTCAAGGTGGTGAAATCTTGAAGGTGCTACCTAGTCAGGTCTCTGTGGCACAATAGTGTTAAAGGCCCATTAAGGGAAAAGTCTTTCCTTCAGGTCAAGACAATGAAATATCTGGTCTGGGTGGAGATCTAACATTCCAGTTGGGCTGGTCAATCACCCAACCAAGGAATCACCTTTTAGGAAGGCAGAACCACTCCTAAAAAGGCAGGCTTGCCTTAAGCCTTGCTAAAGAGAGAAGTGGAATAATTACCTTGTAATGAGATACTGTACTTTTCATTCCCAGAATTCTCACCCTCTAGCTCAGTCCCTTCATGCCATTGTGAGGTTTATTGGGTCTGACCACCATTCTGAGTACAAGTTTTCCTTTTTTTTTTTTTTTTTTTAATTTCTGTCTTTCTTTCAGATGCTGGTCAGAACTTAAGATGCTTTTTCTGATATTTTGGGCTTCTTTGCATTTTCTGTAAAGCCCCCCTTCCCAGCACATGGCTACCTGTCACCATGTGGCTGACCTCCACGCAGGCTTAATTCAGACAGCATGTGATAGAATGCTTCAGCTGTAGAAAACCAGAAGTCCTCTGAGACTCCTGCTGACCTTGCTCAGCCCTTATTGATCTGCCACACCCAGAACTCTGGGAGGACTGTACGTTGTTACAGCCTCTTTCCCAAGATAGCCTGTCTTGCTTGGGCAAATAGGTCCAGAGAAGAGGGGCCCACAAATTTCTCAAGAATGTCCTGACTTATATGTAGCCCACCACAGCTGTACCCTGTATAATCTCCAACCAGTCCCCTCCCTCCTTGTGTAGCCTCCATCCTACAGGAAGGTTGTTGCCCCTCATTGTGCTATAAACACAGTATCTTTGATAAGGTCAGATGTGGTCTTTCTTTCTCTCCTATTGTTCCTGTTCTCTGGGCTCCAAAATCTAACAGCATGGTTTTTTCCTTTCTCTTATCCATTTTCTTCTTTTGGGAACCTACCAAGATTTACAGCTCACCTATCCTAGGGTTTTCTTTAAATTCTAACAAAATTGTCCTCAAATTTCTGTTTGGGTAATTGTGGTGTACCCTCAAAGGGGATGTAGGACCCCAGCCTCATCCTCTCTTTCATGTCCCTGCCATAAGCTTTGCTTTACCACTTGACCAAGGCTTCTGCCACGAACAACAGGGCCACAACATGCCTTCAGTGTATTAAGGGATAAAACCTCTGTGCCTGAGCCAAAGTCTACTTTCCTTTTCATAAGTTGATCAACTCAAGAATTTGTTATAGTGATGGAAAGCTGGTCCACATTGCCTCAGTATAGGAGTCCCAGAAATAGGATAGTTTCCTGCTATCTAAAACTGCTGTGAGGATTAATTAAAAGGAAAAAATAATCTCAGAAACAATAGATTGACCAGAATATCTCTTTAAAGAGTGCTATGAGTTAAAGAGAGCTTAAAATATGTATACAAGCAACAAAAATGTAGCTTAGAATCTACCTATGCCCTGGTTTCAGTCTCTCTCTCTCTCTCTCTCTCTCTCTCTCTCTCTCTCTCTCTTTCTCTCTCTCTCTCTCTCTCTGTCTTTTTGAGACAGAGTCTCCTTGTAGTTGGGCTGGCCTGGAACTCACTATGTAGACCAGGCTGCTTGAACTCACAGAGATCTGCCTGCCTCTGCCTCCTGAGTGCTAGGACTAAAGGCATGCACCACCATGCCCGGCCACAGTATCTCTTTTTTTAAAATAATCTTTAAAAATATTTTTTATTTAGGGCTGGAGAAATACCTCAGGGTTAAGAGCACTGGCTGTCCTTATAGAAGACCCAAATTCAAATCCCAGCACCCACATGGCAGCTAACAACCATCTGGAATTCTAGTTCCAGGGGATTCAACACCCTCTTCTGTCCTCTGAGGGCACTGTACCACATGGGTGCACTTACAAACATGCAGGCATAACACTCATACACATAAAATGAAAATAATTTTTTTAAATATTTTATTATCTTTATTTTATGTGAATGAGTGTATTGCTTGCATGTTGTGTAAGTGCATCTTTGTCATGCAGTGCCCACAGAGGTCCAGGGAACTTGGATAGACATTTCCCTAAAGAAGATATTCAAATAACCAATTAGCAAATGAAAGATGCTCCACACCACCTACTCACTTGGAAAATGCAAACCAAAACCATGAGAGACCACCTTGCATCCATAAGAATGGAGAGGAGGGGAGAAGAATGGGAAGGCAGGAAGAGGAAAGGAAAGGAAAGGACAGAAAATAGTGTTTCGGGTGCAGAGTAAGTGGGACTCCTGTGCTCTGTTGGTGGAAATATAAAATGATACATGTTAGATAAAAGGGTGTTGGGGCTGGAGAGATGGCTCAGCAGTTAAGAGCACTGACTGCTCTTGCAGAAGACCCACGTTCGATTCCCAGCACCCACATGGCTGCTATGAACAGTCCTTAACTCCAGTTCCAGGGAAATCTGAAGCCCTCTTCTGACCTCCGTGGCATTGCATGACACGGGTACACCCACATACATGCAGGCAATACACTCATACACATAAAAATTTAAAATAATAAATTAAATTTTTTTAAAAAAGGGTGGCAGGGCTCAGGATCACCACAAAATAGAAACAGAGAGGACTCTGGCAAAGCAAGAGTTTAATGGGTTGGTGGGACTGGTCCTCAACTCAGGTGTGAAGAAGAACCAACAGCCTAATGGCTGCAGGACAGTAGCTTATAAAGGGGCAGAATGCAGAAAAAGAGAATATTTTTCTGCTGTTTGGGGCTGTTTTTGAGGCTGTTCAGAAAGAGCATGGGGTCTGTACCTGGTGAAACTTATCAGGGAAAACTCTACTGTAAAACATGTTTTCTACAATTACAGGGTTCCAAGAACCCACTACAGCTAAGGGCTTGGGAAAACTTGTTTGTGAGCCTGTGGAACATGCTCTGGTGATCACAATACATTTGGTCATTAATTCCCAGAGCTCCTTTTGTCAGCTTGCAGGTGGCTGGGAGTTGGCTGACTCAGTTCTTCTTAGGGGCCTTATGGTTTCTGGGTTTGGGGTCGCCTGGATCTTTTATGTTATGGGATTGGGGACAGCATTTCTTGTCTGGCTACTTCCTGCTGGGTAAGGTCGAGGACAAAAGGGGGAGGGGCTTTGATGAGGCTGGACCTGGAAGCAGTCCTCTCAGGCTGCCATTTCCTGGTATTCGTTGGTGTTAGAGCATTCCACATCCATTATATTTGCCAGTTTTGTTTTGTTTTTTTATCTGGCTGGGGGAAAAGTAAGCAAAAGTTGGTTAAAGTTGGTATGTAGTCATGGAGGGGAGAGGATTGTTGGAGTGGCAGATTGCTTTGGCCGATTGCTCAGGAGGAAAGGCCTGCCATACATAAGCTCAAAGGGCTGCCGTGTCCCCTGTAGTTGGAAAACCCTCTGTCCATCCTGAGAGGGCATCAACCAAGACTAGTAGGTACCTGAACTTTTCGAAACCTGGCATATGAGTAAAGTCTAGTTGCCAGTCAACCCCAGGGAGAGCTCCTCTATGTTGGTGGGATTTAAAGGAGAGGGTGAGCAGCCCCCACCCTGAGGGGAAACAGCAGCACAGATGGGGCAGGAGCAGGTGACTTCTGAGAAAAGGGGAAGGAGTTTAGGGGTAAAAATGAGGGGTTCAAGAAATTTATAAAGCAGGTGAACCCCAATATGAAAGATGTTATGTAGATGTGTCAGAATGGACGAGACCTGGCCTTCTGGTAGGCAATATCTGTCCCCAAGAATCATCCATCCTCCTGAGGTTGGGGTAGCCCCTTTGACTGAAAGAGATTTATGCTGTTGAAGGGTATAGGAAGGCATGAACCCTCATGGAGCTAACAAAGACAGGTTAGCAGCATAACATTGGCATTTGCTGGCCTCCCTAGCTGCTTGGTTGGCTAGGTCATTGCCTCTGGCAATAGGATCAGTGAGAGGTTGGTGGCCCCTACAATGGACTACAGCTACCTTGGCAGGAAGATAAGATGCCTCCAATCATTTAAGGATTAGTGGACCATTAATAATAGGGGTCCCCTTTGTGGTAAGTAGACCTCTTTCTTTCCAGATAGAAGCATGATGATGAAGTATATGGAAGGCATATTTATAATCTGTGAAAATATTGGTTTTTTATTTTTGGCCAATGTTAAGGCTCTGGTGAGTGCTATGAGTTCTTCCCTCTGTGAGGTGGTGCCAGGAGGTAAAGGTCCAGACTCAATAATGCCTGGGAGGGGGACGATAGCATATCCTGCCCTGCAGGATTCAGTTAGGGGTCAGGGTTGAGCTGCTATCCACAAACCAGGTTAGATCTGAATCAGGTAAGGGATGGAGAGAAACCAAGGGGTCCCAATAAGTGAGTTCCTGGAGGGGCTCCAGAAATAGGTTAGATCTGAATCAGGTAGGGGCTCGAGAGAAACCAAGGGGTCCCGTTAGGTGAGTTCCTGGAGGGTCTCCAGACATGAATGAGTGAGTGGTGTGGCAGAGGGGAGGAGTGAGGCAAGGTTAAGGGGAGGGCAGGAGTCTAATTCAGAGATTTTCAAGGAAGGTGGCATGAAAGAGTTGAAGCTTAGATGGAGCGAGAATGCTAAGACAGGAGTGGGTGAGGAGGTCCTTAAGACGGTGGGGGAAAGGAACAGAATAGGCTGGCCCAGGGTGAGTTTAAGAGCTTCCTGAGCTCAGAGGGCTGCAGCTGCCAGGGCACGGAGACAAGGCTGCCATCCTTTGACGGTGGTGTCTAGTTGTTTTGAGAGATAGGCCACGAGGGCAACGGGGGGGTCCCTTCATTTGTCCAAGGACACCCAGAGCCAGTGCATTATTTTCAGTTACACATAAAAGATATGGGGATCCTAGGTCAGGGAGGGCTAAAGCCAGTGCCTCTAGGAGGGCCTTCCTGATGGCATGGGAAGCTGCTGTGATTGGTCCCAGGGGCCCTACAGGTTCAGAACAGACTTACCAGCTAATGTACTCATTACCCTGGGCTCCTTCATAGTGATGATTATGGTTGAGATGGGGGGCTGAGGAACTAGGGCCTCATCAGTCTTTGGCTGCCAGGTCCAGAAGATCGGTAATGGACTCCTGCAAAGTGGATAGGGTCAGAGACGAGACTGGCCTACCTTGACGTGGCAAAGAAGGACAATCAATCCTCCAATGATCTTTCTGTCCACATTGAGGGCAGGGTCCTGGTGATGGCCATGTGTTGGGGCATTGTCTGGCCCAGTGTCCAGTCTGTCCACATCTGAAGCAGGGTCCTGGCAGCTGATGCTGTGTCGCAGTGGAGCCAGAGACTGCCTTCTTTGGAGGAGCCCTTAGAGCTCTGGCCAGCAGCTGGTGTTTTTGTTTAGACAGAACAAATTTGTCCATCCTAGCCAGCTCCTCCCGGCTATTAAAGACTTAAATGCCATTTCTAACAGATCTCCCTGCAGGGGGCGGTAATCCAGGCCCCTTTCTAGCCATCTAAGTTTTCTCCTAATATCAGGGCAGATTGTGAGATGAAATGATGGTTAAGCGTAAACCTGCCATCTCTAGCATCTGGATCATATCTGGTGTACTGCCTCAGTAAGTCTATCCAGGAACTGTGCTGGGTTTTCAGAGGGGTTTTGGGTTATATTCTTTCCTGATAGTTTCATCCTGGGTCCTGGCTGGGGACAGCAAGAGTCCCAGCAGGAGAATCCTCATCAGTTAGGAAATGGAAGACTAAGTTTCGTAGCATAAAATGCTGAGCTGAACTATCAGCCCACATGGACCTGATTTCCTGCCTCTGACATTCCAGTCTCTCAGCCTCTATTACCTGTGAAACAAAGATGGAATGAAGCATTACATTCAGTGTGCTTACTAGGTTGACAGAGTCACAGCAATGCTCAGCAAGTGTGGTCGTTAACGTTGACTCTCAACTTGACTAGATTTAGAACCACCTAGGAAACTCCGATGGAAAACATACCCCATGTAGGCAGCACAGTCCCGCAGACTGGGGTCCTGAGCCGAATAAAAGGAGAAAGTGAGCAGAGCAACAGCATTCTCTCTGCTTCCTAACAGCAGACCCCATGTGACCAGCTGCATCTCACTCCTGCCACCATGACTTCCCCACCAGGACAGAGTGTACCCTCAAACCATTAAACAAAATAAATCCTCAGGGGCTGGAGAGATGGCTCAGTGGTTAAGAGCACTGGCTGCTCTGGCAAAGGCCCTGGGTTCAATTCCCAGCACCCACATGGCGGCTGACAACTGTCAGTAATTCCAGGGCCAGGGGATCAGACATCCTCTTCTGACTCCACAGGCATTGCACAATGTGGGTGCACTTATACACATGCAGGTAACTCACTTATACACATAAAATTAAAATAATAAACAAACCAAAATACACCCTCCAGCTATAAACCCTTCACCTCTTAAGTCACTTTTGCCAGGTATTTTGTCACATCAGTGAGAAAAGTAGCCACACAGGAAGTTAGTGAGAAGGGCTAGGAAGGTGCCATGTCCCTTTTGCCCCCACCATAACCTCTCAGACCTCACAGACTCACCTTGAATTTGTTGATTGATTGATTTTTTATTTTATTTGTTGTTATTTGCCTCTGTGTGTGTGTGTGTGTGTGTGTGTGTGTGTGTGTAAGTATGCTGTGTATGTGAGTGGGGGTTGTGCATGCCATGGTGCTCAAATGGAAACCATAGGACAACTTTCATAAGCAGTTCTTCCCTTCCACCATGGGTTCTAGGATCAGGTTGTCAGTCTTGTGCAGCAAATGCTTTTACCCACTGGGCCATCACAATCATAGGACAACTTTCATAAGCAGTTCTTCCCTTCCACCATGGGTTCAGGTTGTCAGTCTTGTGCAGCAAATGCTTTTACCCACTGGGCCATCACACTGGGGATCTTGGGTTTTAGATGCTGGCAAGTAGTTTCAGGAAGGCAAGGGTACAGAAGACGCAGGAAAGGGCAGGCTTGCTGCTCCTAAGTCTTCCTCCCTAAGGACTGAGAGGAGAGTTTTGTGTGGGAGAGAAATAGAAAAGGAGAAGAAAAGTGGATGCTAGAGATGCCGGGATAATTCCTGGGGCAAATGGTTGATGAGTAGAGGAGAGGTCCTCTCCAAGGATGTGGGTAAGGCTAGAGGTGTCTGTAAACGCAAATTCCTCTTAAGAGTAGATTGGTGAAAATGAAATAGTGCTTGTTGTCTACCAAGACTTCTTATAGACACTTTACATATGTTATCTCATGTAGGCATCTCAGCAACCCAAGAGATCCGTAGCATTATTATCTGCATTTTACCTGTGAATAAATTGAAACAGAGAAATTGAACAATTCACCCTAGTCCCCTTAGCCAGTAAGTGGTAGAGCTGGCCTCAGATCAGATAGGTAGGCCTCGACATTCTTCCATCAATCTGGAAACTGTCATTCATGTGGCTCTGTCCTCAGTAACTCAGGGTGTTCGTAGGAGCCTGTGTTGCCTCACTGTGATTGTCGTTTCTTCCTCTGGAAACTGGGTTAGCCCTAACCACACCTGTTTATTCAACACCTTGAGTTTCCAGCACATTTCCTTCTCTCTGGTCCAGTACCCAGATCCTCTTTTGTCCACTGACTGCTCTTTGATGCAGTATCCTCTCTCTGGCCCTATGAGCGCATCAGTAGGTTTCAAACCCTACCAGAAGTGATGGGGGCGGAAGATGAATGGGCACTGAACCCTTTTGGAGTCTGAAGTCTGCAGATCAGATCTTCTGGGTGGAATAAAAATAGATATAGGGTGGGGAAAGCATGGACAAACTGGAACCCACAAGCACAAGGTTGGAACTGAAGAACAGATTGAACCGTGCATTCGCTTTCTGGAAGCTTCTAAGTTCAAGGAAGTAGATATCCTATAGGAAAAGTCAGACCTTCCATTATGGTGTCAAAAAACAAAGTTTCAACAAATTTATTTTAAAGCATCAATTACCTTTTTTTCCCAGCAATGAGGATCAAACCCAGAGTCTCATGTATACTACGCAAACACTTGACCACTGAGCTGGAACTCCACCCTTAATTTTCTTTTATTTGTGATTCCAGAATATGGCAACACTTCATTTTATGAAGTAAAATTGCACTTCCCAAACTCATCACTGATAATTTCAAAGTTATTTTCCTTATGAAATTGAAGAGATTTTTCTTTTTTAGGTTTATCGAATTCATTGTTCTGTGCATGTATATCCATACCAAGTACACATGTGGAAGTCAGAGAAAAACTTTCCAGAGTCAAATCTCCTTCTACTGTGGGTTTGGGGGCTTGAACTCAGGTCATTAGACTTGCATAGCAAGCACTTTTACCATCTAAGCCATTTCAGCAGCCCTATTTTTATTTTAAATGATTTTTAAAATTACATTTATTTACTTGTTGTGTGTATGTGTGGCCACAGGCGCGTGTACCACAGCATGCGTGTGGAGGTCAGAACACAACTTGTGGGAGTCAGCTCTCTCCTCTTATCATGTGGGCCCCAGGGATGGAACTCAGATTGCCAGGCTTAGCAGCAAGTGCCTTAACCTACCATGCCATCTAACTGGCCTTTTAAAATGGTTTCATTAGCATATAGTAATTATAAAGAATAATTGGTTTCACTGTAACTTTTTTGTACATATACATCCTGAACTTCAGTCATGTTCATTCCCTCTTGATTTACCCTCTCTGGTCCCTCATACACCTGTTAATCACCTTCCTCTTCCAGCTAGCCCCACTTATACTTTTTTGTCATGTTTGTTTTGTGTGACCCAATGAGTTTCACTAGGGTTGCTTAGGGAGCATAGATGAGCTTATTTATGGAAGCATGTTCACCTTATCAATGACTACATCACTGAAGAAAATGTCCTTCCCTCCCCTTTGGAGGAGTGGGCCCATGGGCTCCTCCCTCTTCCATGTCAGGGTGCTGACAGGCCCAATCCTATACAGATCCTACACAGATAATCACAGCTGCTGTAAGTTCAAGCATTGTGTCATGCCCAGAAGTCCCCACTTCCCTTCCTCTGGATCTTACTTTCTTCCCCTTCTTCCCTTGTGTTCACTGAACTTTGAAAAGGGTGCTATAAATATCACATTTATGGTTGGGCACTCAACAGTCACTTGTCCTCAGTACTTGGACCAGTTATAAGTGTCTGCAGTCACCACTGACCACTACACAAAGAAGCTTCTCTGACCAGAGCTGACAGCATCACCATTTTATGGGCATAAACTTGGCTGTTATAGTTGGGACTGGACATGGTGGTTCATGCCTTTAACAGGTGGATCATTGTGAGATGGAGGCCAACTTAGTCTATAAATTGAGTTCCAGGTCAGATGGGGGCTACAGGGAAACCCTGTCTCAAAAAAAAAGTGGGGGGAGTTGGCATCACACTCATCTATTAAACCAACTGCAGCTTTCCTATTAGGAACTAGGACTTCCCCAACTACACACTTTTGTCCAGATTTACAGTACCAGATGTGAGTTCCCCACTAAAGAGTAGGCCTCAAATCCAATTAGAAAGTGGCTGGTTATCCCCATTACAGGGCATTAGTGGAACCTTTTGCCTGACTGGCTAGTCAATATTGTTGCACACAGGGTCCACAGCCAAGTAGGACAGTTTGTGAAAATTCTCATCCAGCAGCTGCATAGCACCTTCTAGCACTATGAGGGCTGGCTGGTGGAGAAGAACCTTCCAGACCAGTTCCAGCATGATTTCTCTACATCATGTGACCAAAGCATGTAACATCTTCAGTGATAGGGTCATATCATCTAGTCCTGGTGGGCAACCAACAGCTGTGGTGATTACCAAAAAGAGAGAAGACATTTTTACTATACCAGTTAAAACTGGCATGTTTGGAAGTTTGGTTATTCTCTCTCTCTCTCTCTCTCTCTCTCTCTCTCTCTCTCTCTCCCTCTCTCTCTCTCCCTCCCTCCCTCTCCCTCTCCCTCTCCCTCTCCCTGCCCCAACCTCTCATAAATAATGTAATGGGGGGGGACTGGAGAAATGGCTTAGTGGTTAAGAACACTTCCTCTTCTTGCAGAGGGCCCAAGTTTGGTTACTACATGGAAGCTCACAAACATCTGTAACCCCAGTTCTAGTTTCAGAGAATCCGATGCCCTCTCTTCT